AGTTTAACGTGAAATCTAACGTTAAACTCCTCCCCCTGCTTGTTCAGAACCATATACAGTGTTCTCCTGTGGGAGACAACTCGTATAAGAAGTGGTGATTGTAGTGAACTTGACCTGATGTCAAATCTTGACCTTAGGATCATATGGTCAGAAACTGTCATTTCATTGATTTGCATCCAGAAATACAGGTTGATCGATCCTGAGACTTTCTTTCTTGAATTAATCAAGTGGAAAAGACAATTCGCTATGATCATTACTATTTTACAAATGTTTTGATAATCAAATTGTGTTAGTTCAAACAATGTTTACATGTTGAAGTGAACTACTCATTTTTATTTACTTAAACAGTAGTAATGATTTTTAATCCTCAATTCAAAGTGAAATCAAGTTAGAGTACGTTACAGAGTAATGATTCAATTTCTTGATTGTCTGCTTTGAAGTGAGCAAAGTTGTAAGTGTGTCAAAGTTCGAGCTTCGGTCAACTGAAAAGTTTACTGAAAAGAAATGTCATGTTTAACTTTTACAGCAAGATACTTGGTGAGAGGCGCCACTAAGTCTGGTTTTTCCATGATATCTTTCTGTCTGTTCTTAAACAATCTGAATCTTTTCCTTGACTTTTAATAACACCTTACATCACAAACCACACCTCTGCTTTAGTCCATCGACCAATCAAAAGCTCTCAAATGAACCGGAAGTAGAGCCCATTTAAATGTGGCACTTCCCAGTTCAACAGTAGAGTTCAGGGTTTTGGAATCCAGAATGCAGAGAGTTTGGGAGTTCCTGAATGCAAACGCAGGCATTCATGGATGCTGCTAAACCAATCAAGCTGAACCAGAGACGATTTTGGGAATTATAACTTCTGTTTGGATAACCTCACACGACTCCCAAGGTTTTTAGCTGTTCTCACGGAGACGCTGAAAGAGTCAAAAGAAGAGCTCTACACCGACGCTGAAGCTATTGTCTGCAAGGTAAAAGTTCTATTTCGACCAAGCGTACCGTTGGCCCAAGCTGATTTCAATGGAGCGTGCTGTTCTGGTTAAAACAGACAAATTCCCTCACACATCTCTCTCAGATAAACTTCATCTTTCCATCTTTAAACTCTCCTATCTGCTAGAAAATTAATCCAGATGTTTTCAGAAATGTCTGTGGTGTAGCAACGGAAAATCATGGCCGTATGGTTTTCCTGGTTGTAAAGCTGATTAATTATGTCGTTATTTTCCAATTCTTGCCAATTAATGTAAATGTGTGATGTGTTAAACTTGATTCTGTTAATAAATGACCCACTCGCTTGGTGAGTCAAAGATAATTAACGTCTCACGTCCACATTTTATTACTTTCAACGCACGTATGTTACACAGTCCAGAAAAATGAAGAACCCGTTTAATGTATGAATATATCTCAGGATTATGTCATACTACATGATTTACTCCCCATCAAGACTTTTTAATTGGGGACACCACCTTCCCATGTCTGGACAACGCCTTAATCAAAACCTCATCGCTTACAAATGGGGGGACGTTAGACAGAGTTATTTTCATGGCTGGCAGCGTCAGTGGTGACACCTGTAAAAACAAGTCACCCACTGAAATGACACCCTTGACCAGCTGTTGAGCCTTTTCCACCTTGTCAACAAAAATGACCACAGCCCCGTTCATGCGGGCTGCAGACCTGATGGACTCGTGTCCGACCACCTCCACTGCCTCTAAACAAACTTCCTCCACGCTGACGTGGAGAAACGACATCAAGGTGAGTGCTGGCTCTCCGTGCAGCGTGGAGAATCCTCCTGTGTCTCCTCCCACCATGGCGTCTAGACGCCGACCAGCCAGGTGACCCTGACGGCCACACCTCGTCAAACAAACCCTTTAAACTACTAAACTAACAAAACCCACAATTAAACAACTAACAAAACAATAAACACCCAGTGAAAAAAGTAGGAAAAGGACAGAAAAACAGAATGAATAAACACTCTCACTCTTTCCACTCCTCTGCTCTTCCACTCACACTCCTCTCACGACAAGAACAAGATGGATGGATGGATGGATGGATGGATGGATGGATGGATGGATGGATGGATGGATGGCAACATTTCTTTTAATATTTTTTTTTTTTTGCATACAATTCTTTCATACAGAGTTCCCAGGCTCTGTTTACATCATCAACATACACATCCTTACAATTTTGTTGTTTCAAATCATCTTTCAATTTATCCAAAGCTTTTTTTTTTAATGTATTTGTCATTTTCCTCTTCACTGTAGCAAAATTTTTACTGCATTGGTCATTTTTACAAATTGCAAAAACTGGCAAATGATCACTTATATCAGTCATCAATATCCCACTCATAACTTCAGCACCTCTTACATTATTTAAAATATTATCAATCACTGTAGCACTATGTGTTGTAATTCTTGTTGGTTTAAGTATTAAGTAAGTCCAGATGACCTGACTGAAAAATGTTGGATTGTATACCTGGATTATTGAGCATGGACTTTGTTGTTTTCAACCAGTTTGGCACGACTGTCAACAAGGAAGAGGGCCGGCAATGGAGGAGGGGGCGTACCAAAGAGACCATCTTATCACAAGCAGAACTTGTTTGTTCCACTTTGGAGTACGCTGTTGGGGGAAGAATCAGTTTTGTTGTGTGTTTCCTTGACTGATGAAGCCTTCTGGATCGAAGGCGAAACGTTTCAGCACAAAAAAAAGAAACTGTCCGTATGACCTGACTGAAAAATGTTGGATTTTATACCTGGATTATTGAGCATGGACTTTGTTGTTTAAGTATTAATGTTTAAAGACTCAAACTATGCATTGAATTAATGTACAAATATTATTTGATTCAGTTTGATTTCCTAAATAAATATTAAAGTCCCCACACACAAAAAACTGTTTTGTTACAACTCGTTTCAGAGCGCTCCATGATTTTATCAGTAAATAACTCTTTATTTGAACCTGGTGATCTATAGACACAGCTGATTATTATATGTTTAGGGTTCTCATTTAATATTTCAATTGTAATTATTTCCATTACATCATCAACAACTACTGTAGCGTCCCTGGTAGAAAAGATGGTCTCTCAAACTGATGGTTCACATTCCTTTATTGGACATGCCTTGCATGTGAGCACATCATAAGAGCTACAAAATACGCAAAATAAAAATAGTCTCAGTAACTCAAAACAGTATGTTGCCTTTAAACTTTTCTGTACCAAAAAAAGAAAATAAAACAAGACACCACATTGCAACTTTCTGTGATTTTACATAACATACAATACTGAAGCTTGTAACCCTTTGCATCACTAAGCATGACTAAATGACTAAAGGACATGAGCACCATCTAGTGGCCAAAGTGCAACCATTACACTTAGTAGCAACGTGTACCGTACTCCATCCATTATCTTTAACCGTTTATTCCATTTTGGGTCACGGGGGTCGCTGGTGCCCATGTCCAGCAATCACTGTGAGAGGGGCGGGGTACACCCTGGACAGGTCTCCAGTCCATCACAGGGCCACATAGAGACAAACAACCATTCACTCTCTCACTCACACCTAGGGGCAATTTAGAGTTACCAATCAGCCTAACATGCATGTTTTTGGTCTGTGGGAGGAAACTGGAGTACCCAGAGAAAACGCACGCATGCACGGAGAGAACATGCAAACTCCACCCAGAAGGCCCCTGGACTGGGATTTGAACCAAGGACCAGCTCGCTGAGAGGCAGCAGCTCTACCAGTTGCACCACCGTGCTGCCCGTAGTAAAATTGTCCATTCTCCAAAATATTGTTCATGTTAAGAGTTAAATTCACATTTTTGTGGCCCACGAGTCCTTTCATCTTAATAGTTTTGGCCCACGTATGAAAACATTTGGACACCCCCGTGTTAGACCAAATGTAAATCTTTTTAATTTTGGGCTCAGTATTGTTTTTGCTGAGAGCTTCTTTCTTTTTAATGCCACATCAACTTAACTAGTTGATATGTGGAGCTGCTCTTGCCCTTTTACCTCGAGGCCTTGGACAGCCATCCTCTCTCCTTCACCTGAGAAGGAGAATGCAAGTGTGGGTGGCCCTTACCTCTGCAGCTTTATGAGCCTTATAATTAAAATGGGGAAGTAAATACTGGGGGAGGGCAGGGTCACTCTATAACTCTTTCCAGACTTATCACAGTGTCACTGAAGCGAGGACATATCTGTTACTTCCACATGCAAAAACTCT